CTCGCCAACATGAGCCACCCGCAGCATGTGCTTCCTGACCTTACTACGCCTAGTGGTATGTATCCTGAGATTTACGTGCTGCACCTGCAGCAGTCATTCGAGTGGTGCTCAGACGCTTTGAAGCGCGCCAGCTCCACGTTGGGGCTGCAGCAGACCCTGAAGAGCATCACGAACCGCACCGTGACCATGAGCAGCGCATTCTCAGGAGTCGGGACCGACAAGATCGCCAGCGACATCATCGCCGGCACGTTCAAGTCTTTTGTCGAGTCGAACAACTTCGACCCGTCCGCGACCATGGAGATCCACCACCTGTGGGCCCTGGAGAAGGACTACGCGTGCCAGCAGGAGATTATCGAGGCCCGCCGCTTGCGCAACCTCGGAGGATGATGAGGGATAGAAGATGATGAGGCGGAGGAAGAGAAGGGGGAGGCTGGGGAGGAGGAGGAGGAGGAGGAGGAGGACATGATGATAAGGAGGAGGATGAGGAACACGCACGTAGCAAGTCTGGGATTAATCGTTCCCCCAGGGCTGGGCGCATGGCGAGCAGGCCTGCGTCTTCGGAGACATCCTGCAATCAGTTCCCGATGCTGTCTTGAAGCGCTGCAGGATCGGCCACCCACGTCTGCGAGAGATACTGCCGATCAACATGCGTCCTGAGCTCACCGCTTGCAGTTCGAATCGGGCCATGTACTGCGTGCGCTGCGCGAAGACCTGCGACGTCGTAGAGTGTGACATTCACGTGGCTGGCACGCCCTGTACGGACCACTCCATGTACGGCCTGCAGAGGCGCATGCATGGTCCTCGGGCGAAGTTGTTCTGGGCGTGGATCGCCCAGAGGAGAACTTTGCGCGAGAAGATCTGGGTTCAGGAGAACGTGGAGTCGTTCGGCGGGTGGGAACTCGAGGAGGAGCTGGGGGACCTTTACGTGGTGGTTCGGATGGTCCTGCTCCTCTTTGCTCCCTCCACCTTCTCTCCCGACTCGGCACTCCACGAACATCCCCACATCCTACCTTCTCCTGTCGGTGCAAGACGTCAGCAACTTCGGATGGGCAATCTCCCGCAAGCGTCAATACGTCGTGGGGGTGTTGAAATCGTGGGTGTTTCCCGTCATGCTGGCCGCGGGGATGCCAGCGAGCAGTGATCTCGTCAAAACGCAGATGGATTACACGAGGACCGTCAACCAACTCTTCAGCCGCACGCTGTCTGACCGGCACACGTGGCGGGTGTTTCTCGTCGCTTCGTACTCTGAGCGCGAGGAGGACTTGGAGTGGGCCAAGAATCGCCCCGGCACCCGACAGCGCTACGACCCGACCCACAACGCCATCGAGGTGGACGCCATGGAGGCCATTGATGACCCCCCCGGCAGCCACTTGGCAGCGCTGACGTGTGCCGAGCGGCATTACCTAGAGAAGTTGTGGATGCTGAAGCCCAGGCAGGTGGTGGACGTTGGGCAGAACCCAGACGCCAGGATCATCTGCTCGTCGGGTGGCAAGTTGCCAACGCTTATTGCTGGCATGGGCCTCATGATTGTGCCAGTGCCTTTCGACCAGTCCTGGTGCATCGGCAACACCGACCAGTACAAGAGGGCGATTCGCTGGATGCACCCCATAGAGCTCTGGATCGCGCAGGGGTTCCCCGTTACCGACGAGGTGGAGGACATCGCAAAGGCACGACTCGACGACAATGCATCCTTCCTCCTTCCTCCCCTCCCTCCTCCTCCATTTCCTCCTTCCTCCTCAGGCCCCGTTCCGACCTGAGGGTCCTCTGGGGGGCCAAAACTGGTGTCAAAAAATTCGGCCGTCTTAGGGCTATCGGGCTCTGTGGGGCCCCTTTGGCCCCCCTGCTCGACCCCTGCTCCTTCGAGAAGGCATCGTGTATCATGGGCCGGTCGCGCAGGATGGATTCGCCGGCCACGAGGTCCAGGGCGTCCCAATGCAGGCAGATCGGCAACAGTATGCACGTGTGCGGGGTGGGGTCCGTCATCGAGTATCTGTTGCTCAAATTCCCCATGATCGGCAGGACACGCCAAGGGAGGAGGGAATAGGGAGGAGGGAGGAGATCAGAGTCAGAGGGAGGAGAAGGAGGGGGAGGAGGAGGAGGAGGAGGAGGGGAGGAGGAGGGGCAGGAGGAGGAGGAGGAGGGCGGAGTGAGGATGAGGAGGATGAGAAGGAGGAGGAGAGGAGGAGGATGAGGAGGACAAGGGAGGAGGAGGGAGGAGGAGGAGGAGGAGGAGGAGGAGGAGGAGGAGGAGGAGGGAGGGGATGAGGAGGGATGTGAGGCGGAGGAGGGGGGGCCCTCTCAAGTGGGAGGACGGGCATCCTGTCATGCACCACCCCGCCATCCCTCACCCCTCGCTCGCTCTTGCCCGCCGCTTGAGGACCTCCCCGGAATCGGTCCCGAAGCCGATTGTGCGGCCCACGCCCTTCCAGCACGAGTTGATGAACCAGTACGGTCCTGGGCCTGCGAGGCGCATTCGTTCCAAACGCTCTGATCCGCATGTTTTCTAGGGGGGGGCCCTTCTAGGGGGGCGGCAACCCGCGAGCCACGAGAGCCACGAGGGCCCGCGACGAAGACGACGACTGACGAACAGACGCACACACACGATACCCAACCGACTACGATAACGTCACGCTGAGTTCGATCCCTCGAGAGCCCCTCGTGACTCATCGGGCCGTCGGGCCGTCGCGAAGGGCGGCGTGCTGAAGCCAGTCGTAGGAGTCGACTCGATCATCTGCGAGTCGACGCGTTTCTCTTTAAGTGATCAAGTTCCCCCCCTGGCCCCCTGGTCAGCCGCAGCCGCGGGGCCGCGCAGTATTCAAGGTGCCGGCAGAGGGTTCGATCACACGTTTCCTCGTTTGAGTTGCCTTTGTGGGTGGCTACAGGGCGACTCGAACTCGAGGCCGCCGCGACAGTGGCCTTGAGGTGTCACGATGTGTGGTTTTTCGGGCACCTCTTTCTAGGGCCGCTGCTGCAGCACGACGACTAGCCAGAGCGGCTAGAGCGTGATGGAGTAAAGCCAATCGCCGCTTCCCCTCGGCACCCTCGAGGATCGGAGGAGGGAGGAGGGAGGAGGGAGGAGGAGGGAGGAGGGGAGAGGCAGGAGGGATGAGGAGGAGGAGGAGCAAGAGGAGGAGGAAGATGATGAAGATGACAACGCCCAACGCCAAAAGGGAATCGGAGACAGGAGCCAGGGGCCCCAAGACCCCAATGCCGATCACGTGGTCCAGTGGTCCAGCAGTGCAACAGGTCCAGCCCAGAACCTCTCCTCAGCCTCTCCTCCTCCTCCTCCTCCTCCTCCTCCTCTTCCTCCTCCTGCTCTCCTCCTCCTCCTCCTCCTCGTCCTCATCCTCCTCCCCCTCGTGTCTTCCCTCTCTCTATCTTCCCTGCCCTGCTCACTTCCTCGCCCCATCCCCCTGAATCCTGCCCCTCGGAAGGGGGGGGCGGCCGAATAGCGGGATGATAAGAAAGGGGCCCTGGGTCGCACAGCTCATTTGACTCAAGTCAAACCTGCGCCCGGGAGAATTCGCCCCCGCCCCCCGCGGGCCCTGCCGATGGGCGCGCAGTCACGAGATGCTTCTGCTGCTCCTCCAGGAGGAGGAGGAGGAACACGCGGGAATCGACACCCCCGTAAGACAAGAGTCCCAAGGCCTTCGGCAATCCGTGCCTGCCCCTCTCTGTCGGTCGTCGGTCGGTCGATCGAAAGTCGGGGGTTGACCGACCGACCGACTGGCGCAGGGGGGAGGGGGCCCGACAGCCGAAAGCCCGTTAAGACCTGAAGACCCCGAACCCCCAAGCCTGAGGATCCCGGCAGAAGGACACAGGGATATGGTCACACGACTTCGGCAGCGTGGAGGAGCGCTGGCCGGGCGCATCAGGACGTGTACTTCAGGACCATGTCCGCGGCAATTACGTGGACAAGGACCCCTCTCTTCCCCTTCTTCTCCGACCTACTGCCTACCTACTCGATATCGCCATCGTCGGCTATTTTCAACCGAGTCGGTATCGTCCGCAGGGTCAGAGTCGTCGATCGATTCGATGTCTGTTTTGGTCGTCGTTGGCGTCGTCCTCGTGTCCTCGTGTGAATGACGCCGTGTCGCTCGTCGTCTGAAGAGGAGAACATCGTTGCCCCGTTCTACGGCCCGAACAAGGAGAAGCTGCTGCTGCGCCACCCGCTGAACAGGGACGAGCAGGCGGACACCGTGGACCGCTACAGGCGCATCGTGTCCGTTCACGGATACGTCAAAGGCCCCTGCGTTCTCCTATCCCCTCCTCCCTGTCTCTCCTTCTCCTCCTGCTCCTCCTCACACTCCGCCTCCTGCTCGGCTCATCCCTCCTCCTCCCCCTCTGCTCTTCTCCGCTCCTCTTCCCTCCTCACCTCCTCACCTCTTCCTCCTCCTGCTCGTCCTCCTCCTAATCCTGCCTCCTTCTCCTCACTCACCCCTGCTCCTCGTGATGAGGAGGGGCAGGGGTGAGTGAGGAGAAGGAGATGAGGAGATGAGGAGATGAGAAGTCCTCATCTCATCATCCCCCTCATTCTGGCTTCCGGCTTCCGCAGGCGCTCGGTCTGAGATCGTGGCCATCCCGACAGGCCGCGTCGAGAACGAGAGATGGATCGTTGCTGGGGGGCACATCGTCGAGGGGATCTATCTTGCTGCCGGGGACGCAGCTGACCCCTTCCAATCCTTCCACGCTTCCACGCGCCCCCCACCCCCCCGCGCGCCAAGCGCGGGGGGGAGCAAACGCTCGAGGAGGAGGAGGAGAGAAGTCAGGAAAGAAGGCGGCGGCCGAGGGCAGAGGAGGCGGAGGAAGGAGAAACCCGAGGGTCCGAGGGAGAGGGAGAGGCGGGACGAAGTAGGACGAGGAAGGGAGGAGTAGGAGGATGAAGAGGAGGAGGAGGAGAGGAGGGCGAGGAGAGGAGGAGGAAGAGGAGGAGGAGGCGGAGAAGGAGGGGGGATGTTGTTTTTCCTTTCCCGCTCCAGCTCCAGGACCCAGCTAACAAGATGAACATGCAGGTGCGGAAGACCATTGACGCGGGGCTCGTGCTGACGGACCTCTTCCAGCGGACGCCGCCGGACGCGGCGTCCTACTTCGTCGAGATCGGCAATTTTGGCAACGACATCTCGGCAAGGACCACGTTCGTGGAGGGCTACGCGAAAGTTAACCAGGCTACGAAGGGCTTTCTGCAATGGCGGAAGGATCAGCGGGACGCGGCGGCCGCCGCGGGTGACGGCGAAGGTCGCGGCGACGAGATCGACGACGCCCCAGAGGACGAGCCCTTCGATGACGAGGACGATGCCGCTGCAGTTGAGCTGGGCGCTGGTGCTGGAAAGAAGAAAAGTCAGAAGGGCTACGAAAGAGATTACAGGAAATACATCGCGGAAAGGTTCAAACGGTTTTTCGGGTGCTTCGAGGACTTCAGGAGCGCCCGGGCATTCATGAACAAGATCGAGTCCAAGAGCTTGGCGGTCAAAGCAGATGTGCAGGCAGACCCATGGGAATGCTTTAAGGGGTGGATGAACCAACACTGCGTGTTCTCCAATAGGAGCCTGAAGAACTCGTCGTGCTTTTATTTCTTTGATAAGATCCTCGCAGCCTTGGTCAAGCACGACAGGGTGGACTTCCTTATCGAGATTGCCAAACTAGCAGTTCCCACGAACGACGGCACTCCTTGGATATTGCGGGACAAAGGCAACAAGGACGACCTCGCCAAGCTCGCTCTTCTTTTCCAGACGATGGAGACATCGAAGCTATTCGTTGCCGCCCAAGCCCCGAAGGAACACAAAGCAAAGGTGACAAAAGCTAAACCCAAAGGAAAGGCAAAGGGCAAAGCGAAAGGCAGGGGACGTGGCCGCCCGACTGACGAAGCCCAGCCCGAACATATCGACGAGGAGAAATTCGACACGATGACGGCTGGGAGGAAAACTGTTTTCATCGACGACGTCATCAATGCGATCGCGTTCACTACTGAGAACATTCCCCGCGAGAAGCATGACTCAAAGTTCAACTCCCGCATGCTCGCATGGTGCTTCGAGTTCGGGATGGAAGGTGTCGTGGCGCTCCCGGATTTGGAAGTCTTCAAGGACGACAAGAACATGGCCATCATCTTGGAACCGACGAAAGTGCTCAGCATGATGCACACCACCACCGCCGCGTCGACGGCCAGTGATTCCCCGACATCCGACAGCCCCCCCAACTCGGACCCAGCCACCAGCGACTTCGACTGCGATGCCCTTCGGAAAGCAGTTGTTGACCACATTGGCAAGGGACAGTTCAAGGAGTACGACAATTGGCGCAAGCTGCGCACTGCTGTCAAGAAAGCCATCAACAACTACTACGCCTGCGCTGCGCGGGCTGACGACGATGACTTAAAGGAGGGCGACCAGAACGAACACGCCGACACAGAGGTGGCCACCACCGACGACAAGAAGGGCGACGCCAAGCTCGCAAAGCAGCTCGAGGAGCAAGGCATGAAATGGCAACCTTTGAAACGCGTCCTGAAGGTCATGACAGCCAAGCCAGCGCTGATCTCGTCCATTTCCTCAATGATCTCGAGCAACTCCTTGACCCCAAATACTACAATGCCGGCAGATCGCATCATCCAGTTGGCGAAGCGCATGCACAAGGCCTTCAGCGCTGAATCGTCGGCACTATTCAGATCGATTGCGACGGATGGCGTCTTCAAGAGGGTGTGCGCAGCGGAGTCAGCGGACGTGGCCATGTTCCATCTCGTCGAGCTCATTGCTGGCATCGTCTACGATGCGATCGACGCCGACGCGATCTCCCTGCTGCGCGACTTCTACCACGGGACCGGAGGCGCTGACAAAGACAAGGTGGTCAGCCTCTCTTCTTGGAGCTCGGGGGGCAGCGCAGAGTGAAGGGGAAAGAGGAGGAGGAGGAGGAGGAGGAGGAGGAGGGAGACCCCCTCCCTCCTACTCCTCCTCCTCCTCCTACTCCTCCTCCTACTCCTCCTCCTCCTCCTCCTCCTCCTCCTCTTCCTCCTCCTCTTCCTCCTCCTCCCTCCTCCTCCTCGCAGGGTCAGCAGCAACAGCAAAGGCCGCGGCGCCAGCAGCAGCAGCAGCGGCGGGGGAGTACGAACAACGTGGTTGGACAAAATCAAGGATTCGCGACAGTCGTAGAATAGGGCGCGGGCGCGCTGCCCTCCTTGAGAAAAAACGCACCGCGCGCTCCATTCCTCGAGAATCGCGAACCCTTGATTTTGCCCAACCACGTTTTTCGACTGCTTTATCCTTGTCGCGGGTTTCCTGCCATCCTGCGCCGTGGAGTTGGGAGGGAGGAGGGGGGAGGAGGAGGAGAAGGAGGAGGAGGAAGAAGAGGAGGAGGAGGAGGAGAAGCAGGCGCAGGAAGAGGAGGAGAAGGACAAGGAAGAGGAGGAGGAGGAGGAGGAGGAGGAGGAGGAGGAGGAGGAGGAGGAGGAGGAGGAGGGAGAGGAGGAGGAGGAGGAGGAGGAGGAGGAGGAGGAGGAGGAGGGAGGAGGACGAGGAGGAAGAGGTGGAGGAGGGAAGAGGACGAAACGCGGCGGAGAGGAGGTCGAGAGGAGAGGATACTGGCCAGTGATGCCTCACTCCTTAAGGTGTCGCTCCTGGTGACCATATGCCCAAAGTTCAAAGATGTGATCACGCTGTGGAGGTCGCGCGATGGCATCGACAACTGGATGCAGATTCGAACGATCCACACGATTGGCCTTCTGGAAGATAGCATCGTTGCCATCAACGACGTCACGGACATGCGCCAGGTGCCCGAGGAGTCGACCCCCATGAGGTCGGCGCTCCTGGAGATGCTCCAGAAGGGGGTGAGCTTCATCTGCGCCACGCTTGCAAAAGCAGGAGCCTTGGACATCGGCGCGTCCGACAAGGTCGAGTGGACGGCCCGCTGGGTGTCGATTATCAAGCAGGCGCAGATCTTGTCGCCGATCAAGGAGAAGAGCGCGTCGGATTGGACCCAGATCGAGAGAGGGATCGCGGCCAAATATAATGGCATGACCGTGCCAGACTTGAAGGAGCTGATCACAGACGACGAGCTGAAGACGGCGACGGCCAAGAAGGTGGACCTCGTGCGCCACTTGGCGAATGTCGAGCTGACGTCCAGGAAGCAAGAGGACTCGGACGCCCATGCTGTGTGGGGCGAACGCGTGGAGCAAGTCTACTGTATCATAGCGGGCGGCGCCGACGGCACGGGCGCCGCCTCCGCCGCGTCCGGCGTGACTGGCGGCGGCGACGCTAAGGCCACAGCTTCGGCATCCTGGGCCAACTTCGCACGCTCGCCGACCTACTACTCCGACTCTGAACTCTGGCAAGCGCTTGCAGCATGCGCCCGCGTTGAGGCTTGGCTGATGAGCTCATTGGTGACGTGCGGCTCGACGACTCATCTCTGTGGTCGGCTTTCGGCAGATGGGGACACGTTCAAGAAGCAGGGTGTCTACATTCGTCCAGCACACTTCGAGTCGTACGAGTGCTTCAAGGGATGCAAGGAGTCCTTAGCACCAACGGAGGCGGCGGACGGCACTGGAGCTGCGGCCCCGACTCCGACGGCTGCGTCTCCGACTCCGACTAAGACTCCAGGCAGCCAGAGGAGGCGGACCCTGAGACCTCAACGGACGGTGTCGTCCCCGGGTACTTCGCCGCGACCCGCAGCTGTTCGGCCCGCAGCTGCAGCCCAGGAGCCTCCACCACCGCCTGCGTTCTGTCTTCCCTTCTTCGGGAAGGTGGTCCCGTGCATTGGGGCGCCCCCGCTTCAGTGGAAGCGCTTCTACAAGTGCGGCACCGTCGGCAAGGTGAACATCTACGTGGTGCCCGACCAGGTGCACATGGACTTCAACAGCACCTCTTGCGTTCACGCATGGGCTGTTCGCGTCTCGACGTTCTCTGCTGACGGCGGATGCGGCGACGACGTCGAGACGGCGGAGATGCGGAGCGAGACGAAGCTGTTCGAGGATATCGGGGATGGGTTTACGTATTCCTCGTGAGTAAGGATTTCGGACTCCTTTTCGCAAAGGCCCGTTAGGCGAGGAGGGGCCTTATGAGGAGGAGTCCTCCCCGAAAGGCACCTCCTCTCCTGACGGGGTTTGCGGGGGAAAGAGTCCGCCGAAGTCCTTATTTACTTAGGAGTAGGTCAGCCTATTAGGACGAGAATGGCCACTTCCCGAAGTTCACAGCGGAGCGGCGGTGGCTGGCGCCCGTGCCTTCTCGCGTGTTCAACGACGAGGTCAAGCAGAGCATCGCGTGCCACATGATGAACAAGTGCCCGATCGAGCTGAAGCGCCGCGTCTTCGAGGAGGAGGGCGTCAACGCGGAGAGGCTCAAGGGCGCGATGGAGGACCGCAAGCGGAAGCGCCAGGAGGATCCTGGGCCACAACTTTGGGCGGGGGATCGAGGAGAGGAGTGGGAGGAGGAGGGAGAAGGAGAAGGAGAGGGAGGAAGAAGAGGAGGAGGAGGAGGAGGAGGAGGAGGAGGAGGAGGAGGAGGAGGAGGAGGAGGAGGAGGAGGAGGGGGAGGATGAGGAGGTGCTTGAGGAGGGAGGAGGAGCGAGGCGTCCCGACGAGCTCAGGAGGGAGGGGGGAGGAGGTGGAGGAGGAGGAGGAGTCAGGAGGAGGAGGAGGAAGAGGAAGAGACAAGGAAGAGGCCTTCTCCCTTCCCTTCGCCTCTCCTCTCCTTCCGCAAGCCTCTTGCATCCTTGCATCCTTTGCAGCGTCGGCTGAGGCCCGCCAGCCAGGCTCTCCAGGGTCTTCCGGGCTCCTGGGTCTATTGCCTCTAGAGGCCCGAGGGCCCTGCATCCATCCCTGCATCCCTGCGCCCGACTGCCCCCGCCGCAGCTCCGACAAGGGCGATGCCGAGGTCACGTTCCTTGGCACGTCCGTGGGGGCGAGCAAGCGGGCGCGCGCTGCGGCGAAGCACATCGTCGACTAAGTGGCTCGCTGCGCGCCGGGAGGGTGAGACAAGGCAAAACAGCATAAACAAAAACAACCAGAGTCTCGCTCGGACATTCTTTGATCGGGTCGATCGGCGCTGGGCGCCGCGCCAATCCGATCCAAGGAAACCGCGCAGGCCTCTGAAGTTTATGTTTATGCTGTTTTGCTGTTTTGCTGTTTTGCTGTTTGGGGTTTGGCGGGATCTGGATTCTCCAGAGCCGCCGCGTTCGCCACTTGTCGCTGCGTCCGCTGCCCTGGGCTTGGGGCTGAGCCCACTGCGCTGGATGCGGTGGCGAACGCATTTTGAAGAAATTCTGTGATCTGATGTTGCCCCTCGACCTAGCCTAGCTACAGCAACTACAGACAATACAATGCAAGCAATGGGCCCATCGCGTGGGCTGTGCTTAGGTCGGGGGGTCTTCAGGAATTTCCTTCCTTGGCGACTTAGAAATTAGAAGGAAGGCCGACGGAGGTCGGTCGGTCATCCTGGCCGCCTGGCCCCCTCCCGCTCCCCGCCTGCATTTCCACCTCCACCTCCACCCCGCCCCCGCGGCACGCCGGGCGCCGGAGGCGGCGCGCAGTTCGGCAGACCCAGCAGAGCAGGAGGTTGCCGAGATCGCCCGCTGCGTTCGAGAGAAGAGACGTTCTCCCCCCCTCTCCTCCATTCTCAAAACTTCGCACTGCTAAAATGCTCGAAACAACATTCCTCGACCATCGGATCCTTGGGCGAGGGGTAGGGGGGTAGGCGATGTCCGCGGGCCCTGCGAGCAGACACGCCCTCCGGCGGCCCTCCCGGCGATGCTTGGACCGTCCTTTCCTTTTCTTTCCCCCCCCCCTTCTGCCTGCTCCTCCCTCCCGCCCATGCCCTGACAGTCGGCATTCTCAACATCTTTCTTCACTCACCTTCCTATTCTCCTACTCGGTGTCCCCCCGCTCCTACTCGGTCGTCCACTCGCCCTTCTTCCCCTCCCCAACTCCCCTCCCATTCAGGAAGACTGTCATGGGAGCCTTGCGTCATCCCCTGAGTGGCCACTATGGGGCTATAGGGCCAGTAGGCGCCATTGGCCACGAAAGGCCATGGGAGGGCCGCGGAGGGCCACTACGGACCAGTGAAGGCCTGTGGAGGCCACTGGGCACCACTGACAGCCAGACAAAGCGACGAATGGGCTCCCAAGATCGTCTCCTGAACTCCCATAGAGTGCCAGAGAGCGCAAGAGCCAAGAAGAGGGGGAGGTGAGGAGGTGGAGAGAGAGAGAGAGAGAGAGAGAGGGAGAGAGGGGGGGAGGAGGAGGAGGAGGAGAAGGAGGAGGAGGAAGAGGAGGAGGAGGAGAAATAGGGAAAGAAGGAAGAGAAGGAGGGAGCGGGACGACATGCGACATGAATCTCCGACGGCTGCGCGGCGAAAACAAACCTGCTACCGCTAGTCATAATAGTTTAGTGGCCCTGCTCGCCCCAGCCCCCCGAGCCCCACCAGCGAGCGCGCCCGCGCACATCCCATATAAATGCTCATTCCAGCGCGTGCCAAATGACGAAATTCCAAGACGGCAAGCCGAAACCAGTTGCCCTCCGCCGTTACAACCAATCAACCACGACGCGCGGCAGCGTGCGAAAGCGCCCTAACGACATCTTTGCTGATGTTTACAGGTTCGTTTCGACGCTTACTATGTTTTTGCGTCTCGAGAGTGGTGCGCCCCGTGCGCATATCACACAGAAGCGATCTCGGGGCCGATGCGATTTTGCGCTTATGACGCATTGCGCGTCGGGAAAATCGTCGCTATGACCAGTTTAGCTGTCCGACGGGTCGTGCCCGCGACTCAAACATGCATGTTCGACGGCCGTTCGGCGAAGCGTGTGTTGAATTATCGCGCCCGTGAAGGCCGCTGCGCTTTTGTTGTTTTGCTATTTTCGACGTCCAAGCCTCGGCTGCGAAATCAGTCAGTTGTAGTTTTCGGCGACGCGACCGAGGCTGCGAAACTATTGAAAATCATCTATGTAGCGGCGGTTGGGCAGCTATTTCCGTCATTGAAAAACGAAATATTAGCAGACAAAATGAGGTCGTTTTCGACGTTCCCATATCATACCATGCCCACCATTCCATGCCATACCATACCTACCATACCATATCATCACATACCATACCATACCATACCATACCCTACATACCACACACTACCAAACAATACCATACCATACCTACCATGCCATACCACACCATACCATACCACACAATACCGAACAAACCCATACCATACCATACCAAACCAAACCAACCACGTTATATTGTATACGTATCATACCAGACCATACCACACCATACAATACCATACCATACTATACCTACCATACAATAGCATACCTACCATACGATTCAATACCATACCACACATACCATACAATACCATACCAAACTACCCATCCAATACCATGCCATACATGCCTTACCATACCATACCCGCAAGAGCGAGCAGGGTATCGGAGTACCATACTATGCACTAGATTTCGCGCCCCTCCCGCCCCTCCAGGGAGGCCCCGCCTGGGCGAGGAGGGCGCCGGACTACATGGTTTCGCGCCCCGCCCGCCCCTCCAGGGAGGCCCCGCCTGAGCGAAGAGGGCATTGGACACCCGCGCTATTTACATGTTTTCGCGCCCCCCCCCCCCCCCCCCCGTCCGGAGAGGCCCCGCCTGGGCGAGCAGGGTTTCGGACACCCATATTATTTATGGTTTCGTGCCCTTTCCACCTCTCCGGGGAGGCCCCGCCTGAGCGAGAATGGTATCGGGCACCCATGCTATTTACATGGTTGCGCGCCCCTCCCACCTCTCCAGGGGGGCCCCGCCTGAGCGAGGATGGCATCGGACACCCTTGCTATTTACATGGTTTCGCGCCCCTCCCACTCCTCCAGGGAGGCCCCGCCTGAGCGAGGAGGGCATCGGAAACCCATCCTATTTGAATGGTTTCGCGCACTTCCCATTTCTCCAGGGGGGGCCCGCCTTGGCGAGGGGGGCATCAGAGACCCATGCTATTTACGCGGTTTCGCGCACCTCCCACCCTTCCAGGGGGGCCCCGCCTGAGCGAGGAGGGCATCGGAAACCCATGCTATTCACATGGTTTCGCGCCCCTCCCGCCCTTGCAGGAAGGCCCCGTCTGGGCGAGGAGGGCATCGGAAACCCATGCTATTCACATGGTTCGCGCCCCGCCCGCCCCTCCAGGGAGGCCCCGCATGAGCGAGGATGGCATCGGACACCCATGCTATTTACATGGTCGCGCGCCCCTCCCACCTCTCCAGGAAGGCGCCGCCAGAGTGAGGGGGGGATCGGACACCCATACTATTTGTATGGTTTTGCGCTCCTCCCACCCGTCCAGAGAGGCCCCGCCTGAGCGAGGAGGGCATCGGACACCCATATTATTTACATGGTTTCGTGTCCCTCCCATCCCTCCAGGGGGGGCCCGCCTGAGTGAATCAGACACTCATGCTATTTACATGGTTTCGCGCCCTTCCCACCTCTCGAGGGGGGCTCCGCCTGAGCGAGGAGGGTGTCGGAAACTCTTGTGATTGAAGCGGTTTCGCGCCCTTCCCACCTCTCCAGGGAGGCCCCGCCTGAGCGAGGATGGCATCGGACACCCATGATATTTACATGGTTTCGCGCAACCCCCCCCCCCCCCCCCCGCCCCTCCAGGGAGGCCCGTCTGAGCGATGGGAGCATCGGAAACCCATGCTATTTGAATGGCATCGCCCCCCCCCCCCCCCCCCCCCCCCCCCCCCCCCTCCCACACACCCCTCCCCCATCCCTTCTCAGGTTTCACGGGGGAAGGGGGGGGTGGGGGAGGGAGAATGGAAATGTAGAGGGAGAAAAAACAGAGGACGACAAGGGGGGGTGGATGAGGGGGGGAGGAGGGGGGGGAGGGGGGGGGGGCATGCGTGCCAAGTCGATGGTAATCCACACTGCAGGGCCCGCCTTGTAGCGCCCGCCTGAGAAAGACGGCGACGCCGACGCTGCCGACGACGACCACGACACCGACGAGGGCG